ACTGCCTCGGCTGTCAAAGGGAAAACCCAAAGGAGAATAATTGAACCTTCAAGTTGCAAACCAGTCATACCACTCAGTTTGAAAAGACACTTAAATCAACTTAAAGTTGTTAGAAGATCCAATTCACTGGCAGAGGGGCAATCTGAGTCACAATACTCAAAAAGTGAACTAACCCTTTCCATTGTCTATTTGCTTCTTCCACTTCTCCATTACACAAACCAGATGTTTCACCATTCTGTGGCACAGTGCATGATGGTCCTGGCTCAGCAAGATTCACTTTCTTTACTTTGTTACTCACAATGTTACTGTTTTTGCTCTTGTTCCTGTTTGTCTTTGCCTTCAGGATAATTATGTTTAGCAGGTCTGTCACAAGGGACTGTGTAAGGTCTGACAAGTCCTTTAAAATGTGCAGCTGAAATTTAACATTTAATCCTCAGCATATAGTTTAAAAAAGGTGTTCCAAACAAAAATGCCACGAGTGACATTAGACAATTCCTGAGAATTAAGTGTAAACCCAACTATACACTCTGACTTTTGGAAAACAAATGCTGTTAAACACAAAGCTAAGGTGTGATATTTTAAAAACCCCTTTTCACCCTAACATCAGTATGCATATTCTCCATACTGTTCTATATACATTTCTTTAGTTGTTGACTTGGAGAATTTATTTAACAAGATGTCAAAAGCTTCTTTATTTGGTGATCATTTCCTTTGTTCTCATAGCCTTTATGTTTGATTCAGGGGAGATATTGTAAGGAGAAATTAGATGCTGGTCACTCTTTAAAGTTGCAATACTGACTTACCAAGGTAGAGTTTTCTTCTCTGAATACTGCAGCAATATCCTGACTCTCTATGGCAAATGCTAAAAGACCTGTTATTTGATACTTGAAATTAAAAACAAATTAAATATGGAACTGCAGCAATATACATTAAAAATGAACAAAAAGGAATATTAGAATCCTCAATGAAACCATGACTATCTATATCTTAACCTTGTACACTACCTTGGATCACCTAACTAAAACAACCTTCTACTTACACCCAGTTAATAAACATGTACACAAAATTGAGTTAATTCAGAAGCTGAAGCTGTCAAGAATTAGATAAATCTAATTTTCCCCAGGAGGCCACTTGATGCTAAATATTTTGTCAACTAAATTTTCTTTTTTCTCTTTTTCAGGTATGGTGACAAAAATGTTCAAAGCCTGAAGTACTGTGTAAAGTAAGACCAGTAAACTATGATATAAATACCTGTAGCATATGATCTTAGGGGTTCCAAGGCTTCTCTGGCCCATTTGCATAATTGATTAAGCATTGCTTCCTACATGTACATGATTGACATCAAATTTGTTGATAGGAAATATGTAGAGAAAGATTTTTATTGTCTCATCACAAGTGTGGGACAAGAAAAGAATTCTGAGTCCCCATGAGGAATTGAACCTCAGACCTTCAGATTCCACACTCCAATGCTTTACCACTGAGCCAGAGAGACTCCCCAGTGAGTGAGGTCTATTACAAAGTTCATATGACATGCATCCTGCATAGTGTCCTGCATAGCATCATGTTTATAAATAGAATGAGAGATGGTAAGTTTTGAACTCAGTAAAGAAATAAAGAAAGATGTTTTCATCTTGTCACGTGTGTAGGACCAGGGAAAAAATTCTGAGTCATCTTCTGTTTACAAACATGATGCTAACAACATTGCTGATCCTAGCAGTATGCAGGACAAGTGTCACTGAACTTTGTAATAAACCTCACTCACTGTAGAGTCTCTGTGGCTCACTGATAAAGCATCAGACCCCAGAATCCCAAGATCTAAGGTTTGATTCAACGTGGGGACTCAGATAATAATTTTTTCTTTGTTGTGACAAGACAAAAAACATCTTCCTCTATTTCTTTACCAAGCTCAAAACTTGCCATCCCTCTTACTCTACTAAAAAAATATTTATTATTAATTAAGGAAAAATGAAAGTGAATCTGAAAAGTTTGCATTTTTTTAAAAGTGTTTTCCACTGAAGTGAGGTGACTGAGAGCAACAAATAAAATCTTTTTTTTTTTTTTTTTTTTTCATAACGTAACTAAAAGAAATTCATATTTTTTTTTCATCCATAATTTGATAAAGTAGAAATTGTGCGAGTTAATATTAAGTATTTAATTTTTTTCTAAAAAGGAAGGGAGTGCCATGCCACAGAAACTGGACACAATTTCTGGACTTTAACATGAAACTCAAGCTGACAAAAAAATGTCACATCTTAAGATTATTAACACTTTAACTCCCAGAAGTGATTAACATGTAACTTCTCCCTATAATATTCATACATTATCCAACAAAAAGGTAATGAGAATAGTCAGACTTATCAGGAAGAAGTTGTCATCTTGATCTAATATCTTGTAAATATGTAAGAAAATAATAGAAAAAAAAGTGTGAAAAGTGTAAAACACCAAATTCTCATAACTAATTTACAAGGAAATGTGTAGCAGCTGGAGGAGAGAATTTAAATCAGATCTTGGGAGTTGAAGGATTTAGAATACCTTGCTAAACTTACCATATCCTGAAAAACTGCAGCACTTTCCAGCCCAGGCATGGCATTTAACAACACTCTGGCTGCAGTGCAGTTCAGATCAAACTGTTCCACAGTGCTCATGATGTAGGAGTTCATTAGTTTGTCCATAAATTCATCATTTCTGAACAGTGCCTTTCCATGCTATGTTTCATTCGTTCTGAGAGGGGAAAAGAAAATGTTTTTGGTATGTAATTACAGCCACATGCCAATCCAACAATAGTTTTAACACAAGCAGGGTAAAATTTCCGCACAGCCCCATCCTACATTATGCATTTAGTTCTTGGATAGAGAAAGCAATGACAAAAACAACACATTGCCATTGGGGAAACAGCTTTGTTTTACGATAGTAGGGGGCTGTGCGGAAATTTTACCAAAAATACTACTACTATTTTACTTTACCAACCTTTTTAGTACTTTAACGGGTGATACATTATCCTGATCTTCCTTTCGCCAAGTATCCAAAAGATTACTGAGTTCAGAGGTGCTATCCAATGTAGCCATGGCCAAAACAAATAGACAGTTTACCACAACGAATCCACAACGTGTAGAGTTTCGAAGATTGAAAAGCCCGCCATTTTTGATCCGAAAGATATAATGGTACAGGATTACATGGTCTTTCTCTTCGAAAGTGATCTCGCTTTTCTCGGCATAGTTACTCTGATATTACTGCAAGTGAATTTGTTGACTGTATCAAGATCAGATGTAATTCCCGTGTGTAAACTATAGTTACGACGATTAGTCACATGGCGAGTTCCAACACAACACGCGCTAAGTCCCAGGCTATTATCAAATTTCGCGAGGAATGCCTAGTTGTTATTGACCTCAAACCAGTCTTTTTTATTTTGCGACTCGGTCGGCTGTGATCTTATTTGGAATGGTTCACCTTTAACGACCAAAAATAATCATGACAAATGAATGACTTCCATTGTATTTTGCCCTCCTTAACTTTTGATTCTAGTTTGATAAATTTTTTGAAGTGCTTAAGAGGAAATTAGAGTACCACAACTGAAGTTCAGAAAGGTTAACGTAAGTTACTTAAACAGTTACAAGTTCTTTAATGATTTTACGTTTCCTTCTTTGAAGGCTCATCACCAGATGATTACCGGGACAAGTTGAGGCAGTTTTTCTGTGTAAGGTATGGAGAAGCATGGGGATCTCGTTTTTATACAATGTTTACCCAAATTGTCGTTTCTGAATTTTACAGTAAATGTCTTACTTCTAATTCTTTTTTCGCTTTGGGACTTGAAATACCTTTAGCTTGAGCATATTGAGACACGCTCCCTAGACTGCCGACGACACCGGGTGTATCGTAATCGAGTACCTTCTTTGTCTCGGATTGAATCTTCCTTTTCTTTTTAGCCATTACAATTTGAACCAATGACTCACACAGTAGTAACCAATCCAACACTCACCCAAATACTGTGCGTACAATCGATTCAACATATTATATGCATACTTTCCCTCGTAATATCGCATGAAAGTCATCAAGTGATGAATACGAGTATGGGGAGGATACAAATGAGGTTTCATAGCATGTTTATACACATCTTCTATCATAAGGGAAGGAACCCAGTCGTAAGGTATTCTATACACGTCATCGTCTTCGTACACGAGTACCTTAATGCGTACACATACCCACGATACGAATCGGTAGTGAGCGTAACAATATAGACGACGCCACCAAGAACTCGTGATTAAACAAAATAAGAATATGATTTCAATTTACACACATTTTATTTATCCGCATTATAACACTCCAGACACATGACCTCGTTTTCTGAACATTCTAATTCACTACTAGTTAGGCCTAATCGTGGAGCTAACTTCCTAAACAACGATAATCCAATCCTCTGCGCAATATGTGCATGCTCTTCTTCAGAAAGCTCACCTATTGAAAAAAATAAAAAATTTACAAAATTCATTTTTGAAATAAAATCGTGAAAAATTCTTCCACTTTTTTTTAGGATCTTCTTTGGCTAATTCCTGAGCTAATAAGAACAGTTCTTCATCTGTGGATATGCCTTCCTTAAATCTACGCTCTGAAAAACGCGAATTATACCATTTTACTTAAAATTGATATAAATGTTAGAAAATCTCTAAGATCCCCTTGTTCTAAGGCATCGAGTTCATGAGGTTTAAAACCCATAAGTTCTTAGGCGTAACTTCGCCATTTATTGTCCGAAAATTTTTCAGCCTATGCATCTACTCCTTCTTCTACAATTTAAAATAAGGGCAGTGTAAGATGACGTCGTCTATCTACGACAAAAAATGTCATTCCATGTCAGCACACAGAATTTGCTGTGTTTTCCTGAAGGGTTTGTAACGCCACCAATGGAATAGATTACAATTCTTCTGACGACATTTCAAATACATCTTTTGATAATTCATGTTTGACTTGTGATGCCACTGGGTATCATTCACTGCTATGTGAGGCAATTGGAGAACCAACAACTCTTTGTAGTTGTGCGACAGTTTACCATCAACCAACTGAAATAGAAACAAAGTTCACGTAAGTATATCAACGTTCAATGGCTTTTAAAAAATGTATCTTGATTTACATAACTTACCTCCGGCACCGAAGATGATGACGAAAAAGAGATTTCAAACAGAGTTCCTGATGGCTTAGCTGTGCGGAATCTCATTGAAACACTCCACAGAAGATTGACCTTTGAGTTGGCAGGCACCCTCTTAAAACTCCGTCTTGAGAATCTCCTAGTGTATTTCACACCTGTTGAACAAGGAAGTTTGTATGAATACTTTACATCAAAGAACCCGTGATAAGAAATTGACGTTCTCCTTAGTTGGGGTATTTTAGGGTAATGCGAATCCCAGAAAATCAACGCTGACTGGAGGCCTGGATAATTTCTCTCCAATTTAACCCTTTAACTCCCATGAGTGACCAAGAGAGTATTTCTCCTTACAATATTAATACCATATCAACCAGGTAAGTGATGAGAATAAAGAAAAACATCAATTTGGGAATAATTAGTTGATCCAATACTAAATTCTCTGAACTAACATCGTAAGAATCGTATGGTTGACAGTAGGGAGAATTACAAATTTGATCAAGGAGTTAAAGGGTTTAGGAAATTAATTAACCCGAGTTACAACAACCTTTACCTGCCATAAATGACCAAGACATAATTTCTCCTTACAATGGCAAAACAATATCAAGCAGACAATTGACGAGAATGAAGAAAAATATCAATTAGAGAATTATTAATTGATCCAATACTAAATTCTCAGAACTAACATCATAAGAATTGTATGACAGACAGTAAGGAGAATTAACAATGATATCTTAGCAGTGAAAGGGTTAAGAAACAGAAATTGCTGACACAACAGAAGACAGTATTTGAGGAACTCGGCCCTTAACATTAAGGAAGGGAATCTTTCAACTCTGAGGATTGTTCACAGGGTTTTTGAAACCTGCAGATCTTCGTCGGATGTACAGTAAAACTGATTTTTTGGTTTTTTCTCAGAACTGTCGGGTCAAAATCTGGTATGGATCGATAATTCAAGGCGAAAATACCGGTGATTAAATTCGTGCATTTATTAATTGAAGATCCACTAAATCAGATAAACCCGACTATATATTTTTCATAACAAAGAACCGCATACATTTAAATGCTCATAAGGTGTCCTTTATCATGCACAACTCATGAACTGTTGTCTGCATCTTAGATACTAAGCATCTGAAAAGATTTCAGAAGATTCCGTACTCTTCCGAACGCTTCAAACTATAGTAAGTGCGAAGAACATTACATATTCGTAAAAAAAAAAAATTCAATACCTGTTTCACTGCGACTTCCATCAAACCCAGTGGGACAGTCACACCGGTGAGAACCAAGTATGTAAAAACACGTGCCTCGCCCGTAAGGTTTATATGCGCACGTGTTGCCCATTGCTTTACATTTAGCACTGGTTCCGTCGTTGTTGTACAATGGCTGACTGAGGTCCAAGAACTCGTGATTGATGTAAACATTTCTGATGCAGCCAGCAAAATGTTTGTAGAGGACTGAGAATTTAATTGGTAGCTGCACGGGCCCACCGAGAAGAAGAGGGCCTGTCAAATGCAAGGAGCAAAAAAAAAACACAAAACAAAACAAAAAACCCGGTGTTGCTATTTGCAGTTCACTTTTTATTACAAACACGAAAACATTCCATAAACAATTTTGTGAATTTAAAGAGTAAGTTAAAATCTAGAATTATGTATAGGTCAAGTACTGCAAAAAGTGAACACTTGTGATCAAAGCGCACTGATCAGGAAGTTCTAGCCCTCAAGATTACAGTTGACCCTTTGACTCCCAGAAATGAGAGCTCCAACTGCAGTTTGACATAAGTAATCTGACAAAAAAAACACTGCTTGGGGTCAAGAACATGTCAAAAACTTCTTACAATAAAGGTCACCCACTATACTAAAATTATTGCATATATTGACCCGTTTATAAATACCTAAAGCTCTGATGATGATGATGATGATGATTAATAATAACAATAATAATAACAATTAATTATAACAATAATAATAACACTATTAACAGTTCGTATGATATATTTCTTTATTCTCAATTTGCTTACAAATTTTAGAAATAATTAATTCAAACAAATTGGAAATAAACATAGTAAATAAACATAGTAAATAAACGTCAACACAGTTTTTAAGAACCGCAACTCGTAAAAGGCAGACAAATTGACTTTAAACAGAGCAAAGTCAACGAGTGGAACACAGTGCAACTGAAAACAAATCCAGTGAGTAGCAGAGTGGAGAACTACAACCTGGGACAACCGGATGACAAGTCCCTAAGCACTTGGCAAGTCCCTAAGCAGGTGGCCAGTGCCCTAAGTACTCAGCCACTCTGCCTATTCTTGATGGTGTGCATTTACATAAAAAATGTACCTGTAATTTTCCGATTCATCTTTAATTTGAAGACTGCCGTGCTGCGGCACATGAGAAGGAGGCTGCTTTAGTCCCAAAATTACCTGCCACGGCAAGTTTACATTCGTCAACAATGATAATGCCACTCTAAACAAAGAAAGAAATGATTTACTGGGTAAAAAACATTTCGAAAAAGGGTTACTTATTCTTGTATTTATTAAATTTTTTCAATATAAAGTGAAGACTAACTCTGAGATCATGAAAGTACAACACAAGATCACTTGGGATACTGGATAGTAACAGGGGGTTAACCCTTTAACTCCCATGAGTGACCAAGACAGAATTCTCCTTACAATATCAATATAATATCAATACAATATCAATACAATATCAATACAATATCAATACAATATCAATACAATATCAATACAATATCAATACAATATCAATACAATATCAATACAATATCAATACAATATCAATACAATATCAATACAATATCAATACAATATCAACACAATATCAAGCAGACAAGTAATGAGAATAAGAAAAAATTTAATTAGGGATTATTACTTGACCATTACCAAATTCCCAAACTAACTTCTATAGAACAATATGGCAGACAGTCAGGAGAATTACTAATGAGATCTTGGGAGTTAAAGGGTTACCGGTAAAGGTGAAAGTGTTGCTTGCTTCCTGATCTTGGCCACAGTACGTCGCAAACTCTTTTATTTTGCCGGCACTTTTCTGAATCACCCAAATTTTTATTTCATATTATTTTCGTATAAGGACCAAACTTTGTGCCCGCATGTAATTTGACATGATTTCTTATGTACCAAGACGCGTTTTGAAGGCTTGAAGTTGCTTTATTTTTCGCTTTTTGCAACAAGCGTTTGAGAGTACTTTGTTAAAAAATCATGTAAATTTTAAAATTACACCAAAGCTCCTAAAAGTGCCACAAATAAAAATCAAATGAATTATATTTTGAAGTAAAAAACACCACCGATTTCTTACGAAAAATCTTCCTTCAGCACTAGCACATTAAAATTGGTCAATTTTACTGTATTTTTGCATAATTAATTAGGTAAAACCCGAACGCATTTCTTCCTGCAACGATTACCATCTTTCCGGGCGCAAATCGCGCGCGCGTTGCTCGGAGGTGATTAGCAAGGGATATTTGGAGTTTGAGTAGCCAATCAGAGTGCGTCTATAATGCTACCCACTCTATATATACTCACAAGACTGTTAGCCTTTAACTGACTGTACCAAAGATGTGTTACAGATGTTTCGCTGCACAACAATATTGCGTGACGAAGTAATATCACCCTTATTTTCCTCTTCGTTTCGTGACCATCAAAATATTGACTACAAAGGAGTTTAAACATAGAAATGTTTGAGTTTACGCATTGTAAACGACTTACCGAGTTCAGGATTATCAGGGTACTTGGCCTTTCGCGATTTTCCATCTAAAAATTTGAACAACCAAACAAAAATTAGTTCCCAGAAATGAGGAATAACTCCATTACAACGTATTTTCGCTGAGCGAAATGAAAGACTTGGACGACACAAACAAACAAACAAACAAACAGAATGTACAGTTTCTGCAAGCCATAAGTCATTCCTAAATGGTTCAGAGGAGTTGGTTCCTTGAAAAAAAAGCAATGATAAATTCCACTATCAAGCAATCAATGCCCGGCCCCTTCTGCGCTAAACCAGTTAGCCTGGCTCCAGGTATGATTGTTGGTTGAGATTGCTTCTGATTGCTTTTGTGTTTTAAGTCTTGTATTTACTTTCTAGGTGATTCTTCTTTTCTCCCCACCGAATTGAATTGCAAAGGAACATTTCTTGTAGGACGACTGTAATTAAAGAAAACTTGGCTTCGTAGGGCACAAATCTGGTCTTCATTGAAGAAAAAAAATAAGGGGATTTAGCGGGGGCACTTTTCTTCGGTCTCTAGGGTATAGAAGCCGACTAGAAGTCACTGTAATTTATTTAAAACCACTTTCTCATTACTTGGACTGAGCAGAATGTATAGAGCACATTTGAGAGAAATTCCATTTCAAACACACACCTGGTGCACTGGTATCTTCATCTCCTATAGTATCCGTGATACTGTTGTCTGTGGTGAACCGACTCGTTACACTGCTACGGAAAATAAAGCGGTTTTGCGCTATATTCTTGCTTGCTTCTCTGAGCTGTTATGCTTGTGTTTATGCTTGCGTCGCTTGTGAAAACCAAGCTTTAGCAAGAGACGAATGGTACGCTCATGAATCAGTCAAAAGTGCTATCTTACGTCAAGTTAGATTGTTCGTCGTCATGGTGATGGTGGTGATGCCGGCGACGTCTCTTCCTTGATTGTTTTTGAAGTGAAGTGAACAACGCCATGATAAAGACGAGTGTGTTGAGCTAAGATGATAAAAAGAAAATCAATGAACAACATGACATACTAAATCAATCAGTGTAAAAGTATACAAATACCGCACCATTCCACAAATACAAAATTTGTGTATAAATAAGAACAATTTCAGACCGTCATCTCTATGTAGTTGTTTGTTTTGTTTGCCACAGCAACATCCATGTCAACTGCGCAAAAGAATGCCACTGAGGCAAACACCAAGTCACAAAACGAAATGTAAATAAAACGGGCCCACCGTTCATCAACACAGTATCTGCAACGAAATTATAAGTGGAGAGGAGGATGGGAAAACAAGATGAGGAAGAACGGATAAAAAGTGGACGGTTGACATTAACCCTTCTCATTAGTAAGACAATTCTAATGAAGTTAGTTTGAAGAATTTGGTATTGGATCGAGTAATAATCCCCTAGTTGATATATTTTTCCTTTTTTTCTCATCACCGCCCTGCTTCGTAGTTATGATGTTGTAAGGAGAACGGGAATGAGACCAGCTTCCTAGAGATGTCACTGGATGTTTTTAGAAAGATTCTTATTTCAGTTGAAAATCACTTTACCACAAGAGATTTACCTCTTGGTTTGCCGTTAATATCAGGAGTGGGATCATTCGTGAAGCTACTTACCGCGACAATGATGATGATCTGAATCGTAAAGGTCCAGATAAGTGTTCCATTTTTCGACATCCAGCAGCTGAAAAGTAATAAAAACGGTCAAATGTCGCGAAATTAGTGGAACTGTCACTATCTATTGCTTGGTTTAAGAATGTTAAAAGTACAAACAAACTGTTTACGGAGACTAGTAAAAAGTTCTACAGCGACCATACCCGTAAGTTTACTTACAATCTCTGGTTTCCGTAGCCCTCGTTCGCTAAGGCATTGGAAACTTCGACCACAATAGCGGGACATCCTGAGACAAAAAAAAAACCACACTCGTTGCACAGAAATCCGTGTTTTATTATGTTTTATAATTATTATTTGAAAGCATTAATTTTCAAAAGCAAACTTATCTTCAAATAGGTGATGGCGAGCGTATATTTTAAAATGTAACTTTTGGTAGGCATCTTGTACCAATCATTCCTCTTCCATCCCCCCTTCTTTTTTTTTTTTTTTTTACGAAAAATTCCTGCTTACAACTCACGAAATTTAACCTATTTACTCCCACGATGTGATTGTTAATTCTCTCCTCCAGTTGCTTTACATTTCCTTGTAAATAAGTCCCAATTATTTGGTGTTGGATCAAGATAACAACCTCTACCTGATAATTTGATATTCTCACTTCCTGTTTGCTGGATAATGTAGGGATGTTAGAGGGAGAATTTAAGGGTTAGTCACTTCAAAGGATTGACACCATACATTCCCTGTTGGACAACATTCATACCACTTACCCCACCCCATGAAGAAATAGAAGGACATTTTGCCAGTGTCTATATTCCTCTATTCTCTGAGCCTGCGATACATGTGCAGACCTTCGACGAACATCCACGAGAAAGAGGCGCTGAAGAAATAATGCAGCATGATGGCGATCAACTGACACAATCTCTGCAATGAAACAAAAATAAAAGCAACGTCGTAAGATCAGAAGCCAAACTAATATGTTTTAAAGAAAGCTAAAGCTAGATTTCCAATGTTGCGTTTTTGCCCGCACTAATGAACACGCGTTTCAAAAAAAAAAAAAACCATAGTTGAAGTAGACGTTTACGTGCGTAAAAGTATCCATGGAGTGAACGCTGTCGTTTTCAAAGCTAGCTTTGAAACTCTTTACGGTGACCAAATTACGTTATCAATTTAGTTGATAATAATTGAGTTGATAATACTAAATCACCCTGCTGTAAACATAAGTTGGCCCTATATTTAACCCAACCTGATCTGCCGTTCTGCTGCTTCCCAAGAGGAACGTCAGCTCCGCGACGAAGACCGCCACAATAAGGTTCTTATGAATTGTTATCGAGTTGCTCTTCAGATTGCTGTAAAACAAAACAGTGATGTTACTGATAATGATGCATTTATACGGCGCATCCTCTATAAGAGTATGCTCAACAACATTTTGCAGCGGACTTTTACCGGACTGCATTTAACAGCTTCCATTTTTTTTGAAAGGGAATTTTGCAGATGCCCCCAATTTAAGAATTTTTGGAAAACAACACCACACCACAACACTAAGAGTTCCGCTATCTACGCTTACGAGAAGTGCGTGGGCTCAATATTGTATTGTTCAATTTTGTATTAGAAGTGTCCATGGGAGAAGAGATCATGATATGGAATATTTCCATAATTTCTTACCACCGTTGTGAGAAGGCCAGGTTAGTAAAATGACGAAAATCAAATAAAAATTACCTTAGACACAAGAATAGTATAAAACTGTCAGTAACAGAACAAGGGACACTGATATACCAATGTACGTCACCAAACGCATGGCAAAGGCTGCTTGCTCGCGATACTGATAAAAAAAGAAAAAAAAAGAAAATTACTTGTGACACTGCAACAACATGCCTCCTCTCTCAAAAATACAACAACAACAACAACTTAAACAAGTTGACTTAGTTTTCTTTCACGATTCTCAATTTATGAACCAATTTTATTTCAATCTTCTCCCTGGATCATTTGGATCATTTTTTTTCCAATGTATGTTCTCAATAAAACTAGATTTAGACTCTGATAGATCTACCAGTTATAACACTTTTTTTCGAACTAATTATTGACAATTTTACATCTGCCTTCCCGTTGGAATAGTTTGGAAACTGAAACAACCTCCTCTAAAGGAAAAAAGTGAGATTGACCTCATACAGACCTCAAAATAAATTAACCCTTTAACTCCCATGAGTGACCAGGACAGAATTTCTCCTTACAATATGAATACCATATCAACCAGATAAGTGATAAGAATAAAGAAAAAGATCAATTTGGGGATAATTAGTTGATCCAATACTAAATTCTCTGAACTAACATTATAAGAATTGAATGGTTGACAGTAAGGAGAATTACAAATTTAATCTGGGAGTTCAAGGGTTAACTAATAATCCATACGAAAAAGATATCCTTCAAAGCTTTCTACCCGGTACTTATTAATTTAATTTAATTTCTTTATCTTTAAGTTGACCCTTTGACTCCCAGGATCTGAATGTTTATTCTCCCCTCTGGCTGATACAGTTTTCTTATAAATAAGTTACGAGAATTTGGTGTTAGATCAAGATCAAACTACTCCATGATAAGTTGAGGTATTCTCATTACCTGTTGGTGGATAATGTATGGATCTTATAGGGAGAAGTTGCATGTTAATCACGTCTGGGAGTTAAAGGGTTATATATCTTTATCTTGCAGCTCTTTCTCTTTCCTTTCTTATTTACAATCTACTGCCAACAACTCAATTCTAAATATGTATCATGGTACTCGACCAGATTAGATATTTAGCTGTTATGGTAACCACCGTAATTGTAAATGCATGCCTTCTGAAAACAAGGTAGTAAAGTTGTTGCTGTTGGTTTTTGTTGTAACAGCTTCACAATCATCAACCTCACCTGAAGATTTAAGTCTGACAGGACTGCAAGAGCCGTTAGGTGAGTGCAAGAGCAAACTGTGTGAGTTCTACTGGACTTTACTGATTTACACCCGTAACGTGACCAACCACCACCACGCGTGTCTCTATGGTAACGAAAACAATAGGCAGGCTTAGCAATCACAACGCGTCTTCTGGTTCGGGAATAACTGTTTTCATTGTGTGTCTGTAGTAGAATTTTTGCGTTAGACTCATGACAGACTACCATGTAGAATATCGTAATACTCCTTCAATGCTACTTGACGTAAGCACGAATTAAGAATCTTTTTATATGCAAAGTTTAACCTTGCTGGGCGTTACTACTTAAGTTGTTTTGGTCGAAAAGCACATTGGGATGCAAGGTAAGCGTTCTTAAACTGAAGCACAGCTTTTTTGTGGTGTGGGTATCCTCAAAGAAACAGTAGGGCAAATGACGAAAGGTTGTCTGGATCCTTAGATCGCAAGAGCGAAGAAGCTACATCTTAGCAAACGCCAGTATCGCTCTTGTATATGGAAAACCGTTCGGAAGTTGAAGCATAGCCAATGTTTTTCGTAATGATGGCAAAAGACGTCAACCAAAAGTACCTCTACAAGTCATATTCGATTATAGTATATTTTATAGCGGTTTTTTGCCATAACGACGACGTGCAGCTCTTGTAGTGTCTCCGATTGGCGGTTTCTAGGTTACCATGTTCTCCCGCTCACGACAACTCGGAACGAAAAATGAGTACACGGGCCCGAAAGCGGCGCGACTAAACAAGTGTCTCTATGGTAAATTGAGAGTATGCAACAACATAAAATTAAAGCTATTCATTATTATACTCACGGTACTGAATAATTCCAGTGCACACAAATGTAAGACGATCGATTCACCTAACAGAAAGGAAAGATGACAAATAAACCAACATGACAAGCAGTTGAATTAATCACATGGTAAACCAGGCTGATTTAAGAGAAGACAACTTAAACATTCTTCGGTTAGTTTCTTAAACAAATCCTAGCTAAAATTAGTAACGAATAACAACTTACAAGTCTGTTGGTAAAGGCAATGCGGGCAGGATATGTTAAGGGAGCCATTTCCATCTGAGGTAACTTGACAGAGACGACATCAGAGCTGACTTCAACGTTGTACTTCGAGTCGCTGTAAAAGTAAAAAAGGGACCTTGATTATATCATAAAAATCCTCATGAGGCAATGCGAGGATAATTCGCCTCGCTTTTGCTGATAAAAACACAGAATATACACATTGGGGGAGAAAAAATAGTTTTCAGAGATTACATCAAACAAGGAAGAAATAAGGAGAGCTAAGCCTGAAGAAGATTAACCTTGTACTTCCAAGATCTCAGTAGTAATTCTCCTTACTGTCTGCCATACAATTCCTACGATGCTAGTTCGGAGAATTGGGTATTGGATCAACTAATAATCCCTGAATTTATATTTTTCTTTAATCTCGTCACTTGTCTGCTTGATATTGTATTGATATTGTAAGGAGAAATTCTACCCTCGTCACTCGTGGGAGTTAAAGGGTTAACAGGAACTGCAGATGTCAAACTTGGAAATCATTTATGCTTATAACACTCACAAACTACAGCGTGGCTCGCTTAAAATAAATCAATATATGAGTTTTATAAAAAATAAAAAAAAGACAAACAAAAGCAGTTAGAGCAAATCGTAAACTGCTTTTAATTATTTCTAGCACATATTCCATTTCTCAATCAAACCACAATATACACTACCAGCAGTCCCTTCTTCTCGGTGCAGTCCGTCGCACGATTAAAATAAATTCCGTGGGGAAAAAAAAAGGGGTTATCGCCCCTCACACCCAAAATTCAACGTGGTGTGCTTACATCAATTTCTTTTCTTTCCTCAATTTCTTTTAACTCGTGCGACAGACTTCGCTTCAAGGCAAGGACTGCTCGTAGTCTAACCACGAAATAGTCTCTTCTAAATACTAGGGGGAAAAACCAAAATTGTTTAAAAATTCTATCCAAACGTACTTTGATGCATTTAGTGCATTTAGTGCTTTGGGTAATAAATCTCCGATATTTCTGATGATCATGAAGCCAACTCCTATGTTGTCTTCCACATCTGAAACAAAATTAAATAAAAAATATTTAGATCTCTTAAAGAGCTGTCACTCACAACATTATCATAATCATTGCAAAAAAATATTCAAACAATCTTAAAATTGTTCAAATCCGCCTCTCTTTTTTACTATTGTTTGCCAGCTCTCCTAAATATCCTTTTTATCCTCGCGTGCGCGCGCGCGGAATCCAAACGCGCATTAATTTTGCTGTTTCACGGTTTATTCTAGTAACTACCCACGAAGGCCTGGCAGGCCCCTTCTTTAGTTTTAGGGAGGCCCTTTACCAAGGAAAGGGTTAGTAAGCTCGAACTGAGTTTTACAGAACAGATGCCGTATCAGTCTTCTGGCAAGTTATGTCTGCGAATACTTTATAAAGTAGCTCTTACAAAATAGAATTATCCTTCGGCACAATTTTTAGCGCCTCATTTGACATTTAAACTTCCCTTTTATGAGGCAATTTTTTTTTGCGACTAGTGGCGACCCGCAAAAAACCGTGCTCGAGCATAAACCCAGGTACTTGTTATGCAAGTTACGTCAAATTCACGACTTACCTTTTCCACGAAAGAAAGGTTTAGGAAGGTAAATTCTATTAGAGATATTACGCCAAATTTTATAAGGAGAGTCGCTGTAAAGGTCTGTTCTCGCGGGGTACGATAATCCAGAGAATCCTTTGACATGAAGAACAAAGCGTGGATATTAGCAAGTGAAAGCAACCGTTTGTTTACAACGAAAGCGTCTACTTGGTTAATCCCAAACAGTTTCCATAGTTTGTGGAACACTAATAAAAAAGGCGCAGTTACGGTATTCTAAAATATAGGCTTCTACGATTTTCGCATATATAAGACAGGACAATATTACGCATGTTGGGGTGGTGATTGATGTAAACCTTTCTTTTAAGTATCATTCGTGCGCATGTTCAGGATCAAGATCAGGACCAAGTGTTGTTGCAGGAACATTAAAATATTCTCTAGCGTTAAATGCCGTTTAGGAATATTTCATAAATGTCTGATAATAGCTACCGTGCGCTTCTTTAACCCAAACACCACAAATAAAATCCTCAAAATGATCAGAAATCTCTATTGACATCATCTGTCTTTCATAATTTCAAATTCCAAAAAATGCAGTGATATTGTTTGGAACATTTCAGTCACTTCTGAGACAGAGCAGAGAAATTCCCCGACAAGTAAGTACTAAAATTACCTCAAAATGCGACACAGCCCCTGTTACACACAGCAAACTCAACAAAATAGATTTCTTACCTATATTGGGAGTAATAATCGTGTACGGTGGCAGAATGCTTTCGGTAGAGGGCCTGTATCTGCGCGAGTCTCGTTTTTAAGTACGGTAGACCTCTGGCTAAGTTTCCGCTGAAGTTTTCCATCTGTTTTAACAGTGCCGCTGTCCCTGCGGATTGCTGTCAAGTTGAAAGGAAACAGCAGTCAAGATAAGAGGCTTATACGGCCAACGGAAGGTAATAGTAGAGTAAGTGTACATAAAAATATCTACTGCTCCCAAAAATCGCCTTACAAAACTCTTGACCTCACTGCCAGTGCCTCCGAGCTAGTGTCGGTATAAACAAGGTGCTCACAATCCACTGGTCATGTGTTTCTAGGGAAAAATATTCAAATGAATTTGAAGAGAAATTTTGTGTGCTTTTTGATGCTCGGCCGAAATTTTTGTGTTTTTTTTTTGCGTTCTCGGAGAAATTTTGTGTTCTTTTGTGACGATTGGCCATTAATAATTGCGTCTTGGTAGCTAATGTCTGCCAATGTTTGCTATGGATTGCGCATGACAACAGTTTGTGCAAGTCAACGAATGACCACAAACATCTGAAAATATCCCAGTAGAAGCGCGCTTTCCGAACAAGTATGATGATCACGGTTAAAAACTCGTTATTGGCTTCTGTTTGCAGTAATACGAATGGGCCGAAAGGGCGTGAGTTTCACAAGCCAAGTGGAGAGCATAGCGAAATAAAAACCGGCGACAAATCGACCGTGGATTACTTGCAAAAAATAAAATAACGGCAAAAATAATTCAGATTTATATCAGGACCTGCACAACTGCGCACCTACCCCTCCCCTAGCCCAAAAATAACACTAATTTGTTATTGGTTGACTGTTCTGGGGTTAGGGAGGGTAGGTGCAGACTTGCTCAGATACTGATCCAATAATTATTACCTGTTGAACGTCTTCCCACACATCTTTGTTATCGGAGCTAAACAGCGTACTGGCTGACTGAAGAAGGACCTGTGGATCATATCAAATAATTACTTGAGTTGTTGTTCTTGAGAGACGCAGTATACAATTCCTAAGGTGCCAACAAAGGAGAATTGGTTCAACGATCCTGAGCTTCTGTAGTTGTTGATCATTTCCATTATTCTCATGACCTTATTTTTGTCATTCAGGGCTGATATTGTAAGGAAAAAGTAAATGCTAGTCACTCTTCAGGGTGAAAAATTGACCAGTGAACTTCCTCTGCACATTCGCAGCTGCACACTTGAATTAAAAGTGGATTTTCCTGTCCTAAAAATTTTACGTTGTGTCACGTCATCCTTTCGAAACAGCTCTCTTAGTCACAATTTCACTTCTTGACTGTGGGTTTCTTGTGACTTGGCAAGAAATAGGAAATTTAGACACCATAAAACTATTATCTCCGCCACCAAAACTTTTTACACAGATAAGGCAGTGAACGCGTTTCCCGATTCAACAGGTCTTCCCTCACGCGAGGAGGTCTGCCTTTGAAAGTGGCAAAAGTTCAGGCAATGTTTGTACAGTTTACCCTATGCACCCTACGATCAGTATGCATAATCTCTATACTGTTCTCTTTACCTTCCAAAGGTCCTGACAAGGAGAATTTGTTAAACTATCAAGAGCTTCCTTAACTGGTGATCATTTCCTTCATTCTCGTGACCGTAATATTTGATTCAGGGATGATATCACAGGGAGAAATTAGATGCTAGTCATTCTTAGGGGTCAAAGAGTTAAGAGCTAGGCATGACGGGATCG